CAAAATAAAAATAAAATAAAAACCTAGTGTCCGCGGCCCGCTAGAACGCCTCTCCCATAATAAATAAATATTGCCCTCCATGCTCCTGATTTTTTTATTAGTGTGAGTATTCCAGTTAATTTAAATGCATCTTAATTAATTTTATAGTTTTTTTTCTTTTATTTACTATTGTAGACAAACAATTCTGGATGATGGGGTTTGAAGGCTCAAATTCACTCGAGGGTTCTCAAACACAGCTTATTTATTTATTTATCTTAAAAGAAAAAGAAAAGGAGGAAGAAGAAGGGAAAGGCTAGGAGAAGAAAGAAAGTAAAACAAAAGAAAACAATCGTGTGACTGTGTGGTGGTCCTTTGGGTCAAGCATTTCCAACTCCCCCCCACCCCAACCCTCTCTCTCATTCAAAAAAAAAAAAAAAAACCCCCTTCCCAATCCGTCTCTTTCTTTATCCATCTATCAAGCAGCGTTGTTGATTAACACAGCGCGAAAGAGAGATTATATTTTAATATTATTATCACTCATAGATTCTACAATCAATCGATCAACCATCAATATTAGGATTAGGGAAAGCAGCAGCAGCAGCTCCTCCTCCTCCGAAATCCCAGCAAGATCAGCAGCAACGGCATATGGGATGGACTGACAGAGTCCAGCAATTGAGATATGGATCTGGGTAGGTCCCTCTATCCCTGCCTTCTCATCCTTCTTTTCCTTGTATATTCCAGCTCCCAATCTCTCCTTCTTGACTCTTTATTCCTTAAAATTGCCTCCCGTACATCTTGGTCTTCTCCTCATCTCTCTCGATTGCTAATTATATACTTGCTCTCTCTCTGTAATGAAAGAAACAAACCCTAATTACTACAAACTCCTAATTTGTTTCTGCTTCTAATATTCCTCCTCCAGGCTCCACTTCAGTTTCGGAGACATTGTTATTTCAGATTTCTTACATCAATTGTTTGTTTGTTTGTTGCTTGATCGCTAATTGCTATGTTATTTATTGTCATTTACAGATACAGCCACACACTCTTACTGATTTACTGTATATCATGATATGACACCGACTGCATTGGCTTATCTTTCTATTAATTAGGTTACCTTGCTTCTTCACTGTTCCCTTGATTATTTTCTTTGTTACAAGTTTTGTTGATTTTTTATTTTTTTTTTAAAACTCAGCAGCAGCAGCAGCAAATTTTTCCTATGATATGATTATCCCTTAACGACCGTCTCTTATTTTATGACTAACAAACAGACAATCCAAAACACCTGCTTCTGTTAGGCTACCACAACATCTTAGTCATGTCTTTTATTTTGGTTGCTTCTGGTGTTTTAACTTCTAACCCTCAAATCCATTAGCTGCAATTTTGCTCCACATCACCTTACTCGCCTAAGGAAAGAACATTGTGGGAGATGCAAGCAGAGATATTATTGGGGATCAGTTGTACTCCCAATTACTCCCTTTTCTTTAACTTAGTTTTCAACAACCTGAATTACCAAATAAAAGTTCAACTCTTTCTTGAGTGATTTAGCATCTTTAAGGTTTAGGGTGTGGAATATAAATATTATAAATAAATTAATGCTGCACATGCTTATATCCAAGAACCATTGATATGCCTAGTGGTTAAACTAGTGATTTTTCTGTACTATCGCCAGGACCTTAGTACTTCTTGTGGCCAGCTCTGTTTCTAAATTCCCTATTCATTTAAAAGTAGCGTAAGGGAGTAAATTTTTGTCAAATGTCAGGGTTTTGGTTTTCACTTCATGGTGGAGATTTAATGGAAGGAAAAGATCTCTGAGCCTTAGGATATGGCCCCTTGTTAAAAATTAGCATGCTGGATATGTATAATAATCTTTTTTTTGGTTGTTATAAAAGTTCATGACTATGGTTAATAATAAGAACGCACCCTCCATGCAACCATGTTTTCTTCCATCGCTTTCCTGTTTATAAAATTTCAACCATGCTTCCTCTGCTTCACTCTAGATGGATATTTTATCTTCTTAAGTGTCATTGTTTTTCCAAATGCAAGCCATACTTAAATAGGAAGATGACACTGCTTTTCTCATTCCTTTTTCTTACCTCCTGGGTTTTGTGGTTATAGATGAATGACATATGTATCAGCTGGAGAGTGTTCCTAGTTCACGTTTCCTACATAAAAACTCATTAGTTAATGATCAACATTTAGATTGTGAAGCTATGACAATGGATCCCATCAATGGAGGGAACAGTCTCAACAACAATCCTAATCTTGCCTCAAAGCAACGATTGCGTTGGACTCATGAGCTTCACGAACGCTTTGTTGATGCTGTGGCTCAGCTTGGTGGGCCAGATCGTAAGTCTCATCAACATCCACCTGGCTGGTCTTTTATTTCTAGCTGTGATTTTTTTTTTGTTAGTTTTTAGACTCCATTTATCAATTTTTTTTTTTCAAATATATTCTTTATAAAGCATCAAAAGAGCTTAAATCAGTGAATTTTTTTTTCTCCATGCAACTCTTAGGCGTCTCATGCATGTAATTGACAGGTTGGTTGTTTGAAGAGAATTTTTACTTGTCATTGGATAGGTTGTTAAGCATTTTGTCATCTTTTGCCATTTTGACTGATGGAAGGGGCCAAATAAAAAGAGATGCACTTGCCAGATAAAAGGAAAAGTTCCCTCCTCTTCTTGAAAGAGATGCAGTTTTAGTGTTGCAATGCTTTTGGATAACTAAAGCTACTTACAGATTTTGCATACAGTTGATCATATATTGTAAAAAAATAAAATAAAAAAAATAAGCCCCCTCTGTGTACATTAGCTCACGAACAAAATGGATACTCAATCACTTGTCTTAGTGCTCTCATTTGATTAAAATTCCTTCTGAAGTAGGAGATTTGGGTATTTAATTGTGTGAGAAACCAACTGAGACTTATAACTCAATATAACTGCATGGAAATGCAGATAAGATGTTCAAAACATTTCATAAATTTATTGAACAAATAAGGTGTTGAATAATTACTTCTTTTGTTGTTGAATTCTTTTACTTCTCTCTCCAGGGGCTACACCTAAAGGTGTTCTCAGAGTCATGGGTGTGCAAGGCTTAACAATTTACCATGTTAAAAGCCATTTACAGGCATATAAACTCCATTCTCATCCTATTTGAAACTTCAAATTCGCTTTTCTTTGATTATTTTCTTTAATATCATTTAATGACCACGATCTCCTGATGTGTTCAGAAATATCGACTTGCAAAATACCTTCCTGACTCCTCATCTGATGGTAAGCCCATCTGATCTCTGCTGTTTATATGCTTAGTTGCTCATGCACGCCACACTAGTTGTGCATTGTTTAACATATCCTTGTGTAAAAAATATTGTTTCTGATTCAAATGACAATGGTAATGCAAGGGAAAAAAGTGGACAAGAAGGAAACAGGGGATGTGCTTTCCAATTCAGATGGTTCATCGTAAGTGGAACTCTCTCTTCTCTTCTCTGCTTTCTTTTTGTTATTCAAAATCATTTTATTCAAAGAATCATGTGTTGTGGATATCTTTTGGACACTCTGGACAGAAGAATTTGGTTTTGCTCCATATCCTATAAAACACTTGGACACCTTGGCCTCAAAGGCAAGACTCACAAGTAGTATATTTCGTAATTTGTTTTGAATCATTTAGAAAATGGGCTTGAGCTATTTGGGGATTCTTGTTTGCAGTGGAATGCAAATTACAGAAGCACTCAAGCTGCAGATGGAGGTGCAAAAGCGTCTACATGAGCAATTGGAGGCATGTTTTTCCTTGCTACCAGGCATCCAATTAGTTCATTTATTATCATTTTTTCTCTCTCTCATCATTATGATCTTTTATCACCAACTTAGGCTTTCAAACTCCTGCTTGAATGAGGAAAAAGAAATAACCCAAGTCAGTTGATGTTTTTGGAACATGGAAATCATAGCAAGATACCAATTCTTACCATCTTGTTTATTTAACTATGAAACTTAAATATTTTGCTGCACCTACGTGTGTGGAAACTTTTCTATGCACAGTAGTCCCTGCTTGTAATTTAAGGTCTAACCTCAGTGTAATCAAAGCTTTATGCCCAGCCCTATTCTTACCAGCATGCATTTTCTGTTTGTTTTGAACATAACAGGTGCAGAGACAGCTACAATTACGCATAGAAGCCCAAGGGAAGTATTTGAAGAAGATAATTGAAGAGCAACAACGATTGAGCGGAGTTCTTGAAGATGTGCCTGGTTCAGGGGTATCTGCCCCAGTATCAGGTGACTACTGCCCAGAAGCTGACAACAAAACAGACCCAGCAACCCCTGCCCCAACTGCGGAATCGCCCCTCCAAGACAAGGTTGCCAAGGAATGTGCCCCAACAAAGAGCCTTTCAATTGATGAATCATTCTCCTCTCAGCACGAGCCATTAACACCAGATTCACGTTGCAATACTGGTTCCCCAGCAGAGAGCCCTAGAGGTGAGAGGTCACTGAAGAAGCAAATGGTAAGCATGGGTGTAGCATTTGGTAAACAAGAGATGGTTCTTACACACCAGATACTGGAGTCGAGCTTAAATTCCTATCCACAACCGCACTCTGCCTTCTTGGCCAGAGAGCAATTCGATCCTTCATCTGGGTTATCAATGGGAAACGAAGATCAATCGGAGGTCTTAGGCAGTGACCTTTAGTTTTACTGGCTGCATGATGTGTACCCTTGTTGAAACTTTTCACTTTGCCATGTCTGTAATTTTAAACCTATCTTTAATCCGGTCAAACAAAGTGATGGTAGATGTTTGGAGATGATTAGGTTCAGCTAAACGAAAAGCAATATAAATGAGGGTGAATTTGGTTTAAGTAACTGCAATAGCCTTCCTAACGATTGCAATCATGAAGCGGTCTCTAAGCCACTAAATTTCGTTCATATGTGACTACGCTCCGCAGCAAATGGTCACAGGTCAGCTCTGCTTCGGCTTCTACGATGAATGACAGACTCCTGTTTATCTAAATTCACCTTTTTGATCCTCAACAGTAAACAACTTTCCACGCCATCAAGATTGTAAAGATAAAAAAGAGGACCAAATCGCGCCAAGATATCAGAGGAGAAAATCAATGCCTACCAGCTAAAAAAGTGGTGCGGATGAAAAGCACAACAATTCAAACTTGGAGGTGGATTATGAACACATGTTTCTATGGTACAGAAGCTGTCATGAAGAACAATGCCTTTGGTGGTTTCCCCTCCTTAGAATGCAATGTCGTAGACGTTTGCTGAAAGCCTCAAGCTTTTCAAATTTCTCACCCTTGAGCTTCTTCGGCACTGTGAGAGCTTTCTTCTTCTTCTTCTTCTCCTTCTTCTCCTCCTCCTTTGCTGGGTCTGGAGATTTTTGTTGTATGCTTCTTAGAGGTGTTGCAAATGCCTTTAGAGTCATCTAAATACAAAAAGAAAATGTAAAGGATGCCTTTCTTAGCGCTATATTATGGAGATTAGCAAATTATGTAGCTGGCATTAAATGCATCAATCTTACAGTGGTTCTCAGTTCTTTTAACAGATGCATAACAAATATCCATGTTTTTTCCCCCAGTAGGGAGGGGTGGTGTTTGAGTGAGTACAAGGTGCCCATGCTTTTGATTATCAAATGGAAACCTTTGAACTACACTAGGCCAGATCAACTGAAATGACAGCCATTCTTCATGTTTATACAAACAAGGAAAAGAGGTGAAACGGGAGGGTGCAAGTTGGTGTTGAAATGAACCAATGATAAGACCCAGGGAAAAACATGAAAGAGAAAGAGATGCGACCTCATGGCTATTGTCCACAGCTCTGCATTCAGAAGGATATTCTTCATCACTGCCTCCCAGGGAGGAGCATCTTCCCCAACTCTCTCTATTAGAGCTTGTATATGAGCAACAGTCCTCACTCTGGCCATTTGACTTTCCCTGTAGAATCATACATCCCACATCCAGTCAAAGATCAGTTAAAAACAACAGAGTTCTCCAGAAAGGGTTTCTGTTAAAACTACAACCCAGTTTTTAGTGTTTAAGTTTCTGTTGAATGAGATCACCTGCAAATTTGATGACTCATCGCTGCAAGGCCCAGCATTTTCGTTAGCCACAGACTCCTGAATCATCGACAAAATAACATAAATTTAACACAAAATAAATAATAAGGAAAAGATTAATTATGCACAAAAGAGAAGGTAGATACCACTATATTAGCAAACGGTGCAATTTCATAGAGAAGTTCGCTCACAGGTTTCTTGGTTGGAATGCTAGGAGGAACAGAAGAAGAACTTGCAACATCGGTACAGGCTGAACGTAGGCCTGTGATTATCTCGTATAGGAGGCTCTAAGAAGGAAAAAAAAGAGGGGGGGGGGGGGGGCGCAAATAATGTTAGTTTATATAAATATCTCAAAGATAAAAGAGAAAAAATAAAAAAGGCTATAAGTTATCATTCATCATGCTGGTGTGAAGGAGCACTATCATTTTTCCAATCCTTTTGGGCAGTAGATGCATTGCCAACTCTCAAGTAGTTGTCATGGGTAGTTTTAAAGTAATGATATAACAGTACAAGCACAATGAGTTTTCATACGCAAAGCACTTATGTTGACTAAACAGTTGTAAGACATTATTGACTAGTTATGGTCATGATGTGCCTTGATATTTGCAAGAGATCTCACAAATGAATAAATAACAACAGATTTTACATATAAATCGGATAAAAAAAACCATAAATAAATATTAAAATAAAATTGATAGAATTAACAGGTATAATGCACAGCCACCCGATGGATGTGACACCCAGCTTGCTAAATTTCAAGCTACCATAATGGCCTCTCAGTAGCAAGCTAGTGTAATGGAGCAAAAGTCGAGATGCTTAATTAGACAGAGATTCTAAGAAGCACAGAGCACAGATATGTTAAAGAAATTGGTGCAGACAACAGAAAAAGAAAGAGATAGCAAAGGTCTTAGGCTTGCTAACTACCAAAATCACCAACTGAGCTGTAGTTCATGTTTAAATTGTTTACAATGGCTAGATATGGAGATCACCTCATCCATGCCAGCACTGACTTTCAAATCACCCAAATCATAATATCTCTCAAGCTTATTTGAAGAAGCTGAAGTTTGAGGAGGGTGAAGGATGTTGAAAAAGAAAATGGAAACCGAATCATAATAAAACTGTGGTCGAGAAGAGTTGTGGTCCCCATCAAATTTTATAATGTTTTTATCCCCCTGCAAAAGATGGAAACTTAGTTAATTTGTCGAAGATGAGTTAATATGGTTTGCTAAGAATGACAACTTTAGAATGATAATTACTGCATAGGAGTTAAAGATGAGGTCAGCATGGTGGGGTTGAATGAATTTGTCCTCGCTAGCATGCCCAAATAGAGCAGGAATGAATGTTTTGGGTGCTGCCTGTGAGAATCAAAAGGCATTAATATCTTTTCATCATATAAGAAACAAAGCATTCAGCATATTAATAAAAATGGGTGTATTGAGTTCATAACATAGAAATAAACAAAAATAACACTCCTGAATGGAAAGAAGCCATGTACAATCGACAAAATTTAGGCTTTTTTTTCCGGTGGGGATACTATAAGAGCCATAGCAGGGTGGTATGAACACAACATTTAACAATCTAAGAAACAGAGACATACCTTTAGGCAGTTAAGATCCATAATATCAAATTTTGCCTTCTTCTGAATCACCCGTCGCATGTACTGTACAGCCATCTTAACCTGATTGCAACAGAAAGTGTAAAAAGTAGCAATTGTATAAGCCGGACATAAAGGGAGAAAATTATGTGTTGAAACTCCAACTAACTTCATATCTCTTGATTGGTTATGTGTGATCAACAAAGATGAAATTAACAACATCCAAACCCCAAAAAATTCCTACAACCACACTGGAGAAATCCTCAAAGACACAGATACAAATACTTCAATGGGTAAGGAAAATAACAGTAAAAAACTCCAAGGCCTGGGAGCCTAGCCAGTTAAATGGTTGCATGCAGTATGCAGACAATTTTTTAACTTCAAGATTGGTCAGTGAAGATGCTACATACAGTTATCCAATTCAAAAGGAAATGCAAATTACAATACTAACACCAATAAATTGCAAAAGTAACAGAAAGAACAATTGACAAAACCAAACAAAACAATATATAAAAAGTATTGGTGTACGAAGAGTGGCTAGAGCTTCCAACAGTAAGGGGCAAAACAAAAGATAGAGAGACAGATCCATACTGTAAATTTTGGAAGCCTGATTTTGTACACATCAACAAGTTCCATCATTAGATCAAATAAATTTGCAAAGGCACTATCCAGAACCATCCCAGCTATAGATGGATCTTCTGCTCCATAAAGAAGGCTGAATAATATCACAGAAAAATCACTTATCAGCTTGTTAGGAGTCCTTAAATAGGTATTTAGCATCTCAGTTTTGTCCTCTCTTTTTTCTTTATTTTTTTTTTAATCTGACACTCTCAAGACATCAAGAAGGTGATCCAGTAAACATAAAAATAAAACAGTACCTAGTGACTGCACCCATGGATCGTCCCCAGAGGCCTATACGTGATATTTGTTTGTTGCTTCTTAGATACGAGACCACTACTTTGAGGTCATCTCTCTGTCACAGGGGCAAAGAAGCATGCAAAAAATGAGGGAGGCCATGTTACATATGAACATAATAAAGCAGGGACGTACCTCATGCCAACCAAGGCTCACATAATCACCATCCGATAAGCCAGAACCCGAAAAATCAAGAGCAAAAACAGTGATATTTGAAGGAAGAAGAATTACAGCAGCCTCATTTGCATCTGCTCTACATCCACTGCATTGTTGTGCAGGTTGGTAATTGAGTAAGTTTTCCACCCTTGAACACTATCTAACAACTACTAATTCAAGGAAAGGATGAGGAAACACAATTCACTGTTATATACACTCACAGTACATTTCAATGCAGATATAGATATTATAACTTAGTCCATGCTGACTTTGTTGTTGTGTCAAATTGAGCACATTAATCCCAAAACAGGTTAAGGGAGAAGACTTTTAGTATAATGACAGCAAGTGCAAAACTGCTTTAATCATATGGATGCAAATGATGTCACAGAAACCTGGTGGTGCATTGCATCAGAGTCCAGAAGTAGTGAAAAGTAGGCTAAGGTGCTGTGTGGTCCCAGAAAATAAGAAGCCACATTAATGCCTGAATATGAGCAATATAAAGCAGTTCCCCATTGTTTAGTGGAGGGGTGCGGGTATGAAGTTAGCTGGAGAGAGTGGGATTAGTTTCAGGACATGAAATTCCAGGTCTTCGATGAGGAAGTGAATAAAGTCAGTGGATTTGATTGTGGGGAAGAGAGCCAACATGGCCTTATTGTAAAACCAGACTTTCAAGTTAAAAGAATGTTAATATAGAATTGAGTAGCAATAATGATATGATTCAAGCAAGGTCAAATTTTGATTTTGACGTAAAATGTGTAACTATCCAGTTTTACGGCAACAATTATAATTCTCAGTGCGATCATTAGATTGAACTGAAATTTTACGTAAAATCTCCTGACATATTGTCCTACCTTGGGTTAAAATTTCAAGTCAATCAAAGTTTTGGAAAGCACCCCAATATTAGTCAAGGCTGTATGAATTTTGTTATTTATTTCCTTTTGACTTGTGAACTTCCTATTTGATTATGATTCTTTTTCTAAAAGGATGCGGCAGTTTGTTTTAGAAATTCAACCATAAAAAGAATATAAAGAAACAAAGGAGAAGATTCATGCAGCCTACCTTAATACTTTGGTACTAAGGCTTACTTAAGTTGAGTGGCCAGACTACATAGAGGCAAAATTACATGGAACAGTCAGATGATTTTTGCCTACCTGTTTCCATGACAGTATATAACGCAAGGAAGGTGAGTATCTTCAGGTAAAGGCGAAGGCAAGTAATGACTGCATCGCAAGGTATGACCCCTTGCATTGGTAAGCTGAAAGCAAGCAAAAACACAAAGCCATCAGGCTTAGAAAATAGAACCATCATTGAGGAAAAGCAAGGCATAAAAGGCAGTAACTAGGAAAGATAGGAGTGAAAATTAGCGTGAACTGATCATGCCCGTGCTTGCCTCCAAGTCTTGTCTCTTGTATGCTCTACCAGCAAGAGTGAAATCCTTCTCCCATAAATACTGATCTGGATTGTAATCCGCCCTGTACAAGAATATATGGAGATGAGCCAAATATTCAAAAAGAAGCATATCTTGATTAAAGAAAAAGGTGAACAGAAATAGCAGTGAAAATGAGGGTACCTGGGAGGGCGAATTACAAAATTGATGAACTGATCAATCATATCATAGAACTAAACTTGGTTTCCAATTGGGCATATCCAAAAGTATATCCTTCCCTCCGAAAAAATGGAACAAACTTGAGGCAAAACCAGTGAGTGAGCGATGAAGAGAAGCTCAAGTCAACCACCCATTTACTTGTCTAATTCACCTCATACCAATTTTCAGGGTTTTCCTTTTTTTATTTTTTTTTATTTTGAGTAAGAGAATGTGACCATGTCTGTGACTTCCTGAAAGCAAAAGGAAAAGGAAAGGGAAAATTTATCAGGGGATCTCAAGAGGAAGGAAAATTAGAATCTCAATTCCTCAACTAGCTAAGCCAATCTATCATGCTTGCAAAGGAGAACGGAAAAAAATAATCAGATCTTAGAACATTAAAGACCTCAAACAACAAACAGCCATTCGTGAATTATTCTAAAAAAGGAAACTTGACCGAGTAAAAGTTGAAACAAAATGAAATCTTTATGAAAATGGTTTCCTTAAGACCTCAGAGAGAGAGAGAGAGAGAGCAAGTTGTCGTCTTTAATGACAAAAATGTAGACTAATGACAGCCAAAAAAGAAGAGGAGGAGGAGGAAGAAGCTTTTTGACCTCGTTGCTTGCTGTCAGGGTTGTGGTTGGGTCGTTGCCGGAAACTGGGGGTGGAAGAGTTTAAGAGAGGAGAGGACAGAAAGGCACAGCTTACCAAATCACTTTCTTCTCTTTTTGTTTGATTGGATGTTTCTTCTTCCTCTTCTTCCCCTTTTTTTTTTTATCTTTTATTTTATACACTATAAGTACCTGTGTTATATTCATCCATTTGCATTATTCAAGGAATAATAATGATAATAAATAAATAATAAAAGAGATAGAGAGTGAGGGAAAGAGTCCAAATCTTTATTACATTTACTAGGATTTTTACTTACATCCACCCATGTATGTATCAATGGGTGTCTGCGTGTGTCTCCGTCCTGCTCTTTTAACCTTTAACAAGGCTCTTCCTCCTAGGAGATGAGCGTGTTCTTATGGAGTGCTTAGATTTGATTTCTAGTTGTACAGCTAACTGAATCACGAGCACCCCTACTGTCCATTCACATGACCTTCCTTCCACCTTTTTTTTTTTTTTTTCCCAATCCGATGTATCAACACTGAAGTATGTGTGTTGTTGTTGTTTAAATAAATAAATATAATAAAGAAAACAACAAATTCCCGAGCTTTTGAACAAGAAATCTATACATCTCAACATGGATTGGGAAAAAAATAAAAAAAAAAGCCTAGCATGTAAGGGGCCATAATGGGATTGAATTGGAAAGGGAATTCCCCATCTATACAGAACCAGCCTCGTTGCCCTTCACAAGGAATCCAAATTACAATCTAAGCTAAAAACTATAGTATAGGTTTTATGATCAATTGGTCCTCTCCAGTTAAACCAGCCCAGTGACTCCAATGTGACGTTTCATCAAATAGTTGTCATATTTTTCCTACTTCCTAGATGGTCCCCAAATTCAGCTTACCTCCTCTAACTGGCATTTAGTTTGGTCAAGTGGAGAAGGAAATTATGAAGACACAAATTTTACGTAATCCTAATGTAAACGCAAGTCAAAGAACCTCAACCTGCGATCCCCATCACTTTTTGTGATGGCACACCCATGAGAATGAGATGATTCAAGGTACCAAAGCTCGCCAAGGTCTTCCCTATGCTAACAATTAACGCTGCTCTCCTATCATTTCAAGTTTTGGCATCCCCATTTATAAGGGAATCAGATTAGTTGCATTATATACGAATACAGTCCGATACATCTGATTTGTCATTTCAAAAACAGCAGTGCACACTAAAGATGAACATATATCAGATCAACAGAACTGCCGTAGAGATTTCTTTTCTTTTGCTTTTTTTTTTTAATAGAATAATTGCTCTGGATGTTTCTCCTGTATAACCATACGCATCTCCAGCAACACAGCATTGCTTTCCACCTTTCCTGAGTTGGAGGATGATATTGTCTGCCCAAACTGCAACAAAGATCCTGAACAATTAAAAGAGGACGAATTTGGTTCAGCCCATGAGAAGAACCAAAAGGCAGGATCTTGTTTATTTTTGGAAAGGAGGAGGGTTGGAGGTCTAAATGTTGTGGATGGGATTCAAAATTTTGGGCTATCACTCGGTTTCACAACGCCCTGAAGTTTCCACCCGCCAAGTCCAGCTGAAGCAAATGCCTGGGAGTGTAACATAGCAAATCAGGGAAAGATCAATTTTTTTTTTTAAAAAAAAAAAAACGATAAGAGTTTTATCTTATTTAATTTAACCATAGCAGTGGCAAGCAACAATTCTGAAACTTTACAACCCCTTCCCAAGTCATTTCTATCTAAGGTCATTAGATCACTATTAGTTTCTTGAACAGACCAAAGTGTCGATAATTCTGCTCCATCTGCCTCCACCTAGAACATGCTTTCTTCTGCAGTTTTGAAGTATCAACTTTATGGAACTCCACGTCTAAATGGCATTGCTCATTCTTGATAGCAGGACGAAGAGCAGTATGTAATCAAATCTTTGCATTGGAAGTGGAAGTTTAATGGCTATATTAAAACTTCGATGCAAAAATCATCCAGCACCATAAAATACAAGTATACTGAGAATAATAGGAACAGAAGTGAGGTGGGGACTACTGCCAAAATGGGCTTATAACTATACAGGTCAAGAGAATGGAGATTAGGGTAATATTGGTTAAATCAGTGCTTTGAGAAGAGATGACTAATGCAGCCAACAATTTTGCCCCACAAAAGTGTTTGCATGAGAGGGGACAGCTAAACCTTATCAATTATGCAGCATGAATACGATTTAGCATCAACAACCACTTTCCAATTTCACATTGCTTTGAAAGATAGAATGAGAAGGTGACTGAATTAATCAGATACCAATCACAAAAGTAAAAAAAAGAGTGAGCCTAACCTCTTCCCAGGATTTCCCAGTAGCTTCAAGCAAAGCAGCATTGCATGTCTTTAGCTCTATGGAGGCACCAGAGAACATTGAGGCAGCCTCCTCCCACCCCCTATTATGCCCCATACACCTGTAAAATTAACTAAGAATCAGCATAGTTTTTAACTTTCTATAATCCCAGTTTGTACCAGAGATAAACAAGGACATGAATTTGAGGTGCAAACAGCATTCAGTCAAAATGCCTAAAGCCATTGTTCTTTTCTTTCCCTTACGCTTCCTCTCAATAGCCAATATGCCAAGCATGAGCCAGTTAACCCCTCTGCCTCGACTTTTAACAAAGTCATCGTCTTTATTTGGTTCTTTCCAAGATAAATTTACAAAAAGCATTCAAATCACATTTAAGAAAATAAAGAAAATCAAAGAAACAAGACTGAAGAATTGATTTTCTGACTAAAGGAAGAAACTTTAATCAAATCATATTTCCAAGTTGTTAACAAAAGACTGTGCTGCACGTTTCAACACACAAATTGCATTGAAGTTGAAGAAAGAAACAAGACAAAAGATTGACCTTCCCACTGAAGAAAGAAACTTTTACCAAACCATATTGGCAGCAAAAGAGTGTGGTAGTGCACAAGTGTTAGTTAATAAATGGGGTGGAAGTGAAGGGAGCATTTATTAACAGCAAAGGAATTGACTCACATTACAGTAAGAATACCATCCCATGAGTAATTGCAGATAGCTTGCTGAAGATGGTCAGCAGTCTGACCATCCATAGCTGCAACAGAATAGAAACTTGAAATGAAATGAACCTCTGCATCCAAAAAGTCCGGTACTTGTTGCTGCATTATTCTAAGTGTTTCCTTGGTTCGCAATGCATCACTGTCAACAATCAATCAACAGAATAATTGTTTTTCATTTTTTTAAATTTTTATTGAGTATGATTATCATCATCGTCATCATTATTAATTGTAGTATTATTATGTTGTTAGGGCGAGGCGAGGGGAAGAAGATAAATGGAGGATATGAGAAATCACAACCTAGACAAAATAAGCTGAGGTATCCAATCCAACTGCAGAAGCTTTTGAGAGACTTCGGCAGCATCAAGCTCTCCACTTTTACTTAGTGGCCGGTCATGATCTATTTTGGATTAACACAATCATACCATATCACATCATATGAAAAGGGAAGAAATGTATTGATATAGCAAACAGAAGAGTAACTGGCCGGTTTAAGTTTAAGACTATGGGAATCGTTGGGAACGAAAATGCTATTGTTTTAAAAAAGACAAATTATATGTATCAATAGTAGGTGAGGTGAGAGAAAAAGAGAGAGACCTCGAAGTGAGCGGTCGTCCCAGGAGCTCTTAGCATGGCGAAGCAAAATAAGGCGACGGGAAACTGCTTGTGAATCAGTCTCAATATCAGTATCAGTATTAGTATCAGACATGGTGGTGGATGTCTCCTCTATGACCAAGCTGGGTGGCAAGGAGCTTATTCGGCTGCGGAGGCGGCTAGACCTGATTGAAATGGGAGACGGTGGTGGTGGGCAAGGGCAAGGGCAATACTTTATCATCACCATCAACGGAATTTTGATACTATGAGTAATGCTGGTTAGAGTGAGTGTTGTATTCGCATTCATCTCCCTTCACTTCACTGCAAATCTCTTGGTGTCCTTTCCAATAATAATCTGCTTCTCATTTTATTTGGAGAAAGAATGGGATGAGAGTGAGTGAGTGAATGAGTAAGTTTTACAGATTGCCCATATCAAATTCATAGGGTATGATATGGATGGGGCCTATTTTGCTTCGATTTGCTTTGCTTCCCCTAAAACAAACAAAGAACCTAAGCACAGTTACTTCGGAGAAGGGACGAGTTTTGCTTTGGTAATAAAGTTTTGATCTCTTTCCTGTAAATAGTTGGGGGCATAAATGTAAAAGGTGTTTCCTATTCAACCCTCTGTCTCTGCTTTTGCTCCCTCTTGGCCTGTTGACAATGATCATGATGGTGAATAAACATAGCTCATGATGATATGATATTACCATAAGACGGTTTGGTTTTGGTGGGCAATCAAAATTACTTCTTTTAAGAACTGACCCTTCCTACTTCTGATCTCTCTTTTCCCCTCTTTTGGGTTCCTTATTGTTGCCGAAGGCTCAATAAAGTCATACGCGGAACACATTTGAATCCAGAGATCTCTAACCAACAACCTGCTATTTTCAATCTTTCCACTGCAGAACAAACCCTTTAAATTGTCAGAGGAAATTCAATAAATGTTTACTGTTTTGTTTAAAATTGAATGCTGCATATACATACAGGTGCTTGTTCTTATATTAATATCAGCAGCTATTGTCTATTGGACCTATAATACACACTTTCTTAAGTCTTATCTAAGGAAAAATAAAAATTAAAAATCACACACATATATATTGTATTCACATGATTCTCTTGCGTATATTCTTCTGAATGTTTCTTCTTAGTAATTTTTTTTCCTTAATTTCTCTCTCTCTCTCTCAGGTTTATGTAGTTTAGGGCAGCAAATCGAGTGTAATTACTTGTTATGCTGTCTTTGTAAGCACTGAAGATCTTCCTTAGTTATTGTCTGATGGACTTGTGTGTATTTGGAGGAATTTCACATAGTGGGTGACAACCCCGTCGGTATAATGGTGGATCCTCAAACTGGAAAGGTAGCTTCTCGGCTGCTTTTGTTCCGATCTTTCTCTGGCAGAAACTTGCTTCTTTCTTTTTTTGTCGAATCCTTTGTTTTAGAGCTCATTAAATTGTTTGCACCCCTCTAATATGGCGTCCTTGTTATTGCAGCCCATTGTGTCTCTATGTGGACAGGTGGATTTCTCATTTGCATCTGCTTGGCATCCTGAAGGCCGCATTTTTGCCACGGGGAACCAAGACAAATCCTGTCTTATTTGGGATGCTCGAAACTTGTCAAAGTCTGTTGCTGTGCTGAAGGGCAATCTAGGAGCCATTAGATAAACTCGTTTTACATCCGATGGGCAGTTCATGGCGATGGAAGAGCCGGCAGACTTTTGCATGTGTATGATACGAAGGTTTGAGAAAGAGCAGGAGATAGACTTTTTTGGGGAGATCTCTGTTGTATCTTTTAGCCCTGATACAGAATCGCTCTTTATAGGAGTGTGGGATCGCAACTATGGAAGCCTCTTTCAGTACGACCGATGCAGGAGTTACTCATATCTCGACTCCCTTATGTGATTATCAGTCATACCTGTGATCCTGCTTTTGCAATTTCCTATGAACATGGGGATGCTAGATCTGCCATTCATGCACATGATGATGGTGACATGCCTCATGTTACTTTGCAGTAGAAAAGAAATTGAGAATAGACATTATACTGCTATAATATCTTGCTCTGAAATTATGATCACATTGTGAGAGAGGAAGAAATCGGACATGATGGCATAGAACCGATGGAGAGCATGTTGGGAGACTTGGCGCGTATCTGGTTAGGTAAACTGGAATCACTGCATGACTAAGGCTTGTGATCGTTTAATCTTTTCCCTAACCCTTCTTTTTTAGAAGAAATCATGCAAAAATGGCATAGCTCCTATTCAGATTTGCAAGTACAAGTATGTTCTTGGTTGTTCTGTCTCAGGCCAATGACAAGTGACGACTTGCAGACCGTCTGGTTAAGCTCTACTTTTGTTAGCTCCTCCCTACTAATTATTTGGCACAAAAATTTCACATGAGATGCTTATTGTAATTTCTAGAAACCCCCCCCTTTCCGCAAGTCTAAAAGGTAAAAGAAAAATAACGCGCTTCTCCACCACAGAAATGAAAACCTTTCCAGATGTATCCACGAATTAAAGCACATCAAGAGAATTTGATCTTGGTTTTGAAATTGTTCTTGTAAGAGGGGAAGAAGGTAAATGCAAGTTTCCAAACTCGGTGGAAGTTCTATTTCAATAGCAAAGCTCAGGCTGGAACATTTTAAGTTAGATATCTCATTATGCTTGAGAGTTTAGACGCACGCATCTTAGTCTATTGAGTCGCGTGATAGAAAATCATCTTTGGCTTGCTTCTCCAAGCCACTTTCTTCCTCCAATTTCTCAGCTATCTGGTTGAGAATACTTTCGGCTTCTGCTTCAAGTTGTTTCATGCTCTCCTCACAAGCAGCCACCAATTCTGGATTGAAGATGTCCTCCTCATTGCATTCATTTGAAGTCCCACTAATCGGAAAGGAATAGCTGCCAAACTTTGGAGTGACATAAGCACCAGGGGAATATACTCGTCCGCCAACACGGAGCCATTCCTTGAGGCCAGTAACGGCTGGGAATTCAATGGTATGTGGAATTTCAATTGATTCTAACCCTTTTGCAATGGACTTCCTTTTAAAACCTTTCTTTAAGATGTGTCCTTGTGAAGAGTCCTCTACAGCTTCTGATTCAGTTGCGGTATTGGATCTACTTGGAATTGCAATCAGTTTTTCACTTGCTAGCTCCGAATTTGATAAGGTGGGATTCTCTTCAATGGTGGAGTTTGCTTCCGGAGGAGTGCCATCATTTATGTGTGAATGTGTTTCTTGGATATCGTTACTGTCCGCAGAATGTTCAGATGCATGTGTTGAAAATCGATATTGGTTAAGCTTCACCCTTGTTACTGAACCATCATCCCCTCCATCATACCCTATTTTCTGCTCCTTAGACAACTTCAAATTTTCGATCAGGGCATCGAATTCCTCTATGGTATGGAAACTCGTCGCACGCTCCATTCCTTCGTGGTTCCTACGGTTTTCTTCAACCCCATGGAAAATCTCTACAGAAGGATAGGAGGCTTCATTTGTTGAAAAAAAATGACAGCTTTTGGATCTTTTCGTTGGATCAATGCTTGGTACTTGTGGAAGCACCAATTTAGCTTCTAGCCCCGTGTGTTTTTCCTCTCCTTCTTGTTCCAGACTCGAGTTAAATTCCGATTTGGTTTTTGTTAGGCTGATATCAGGTTCCGTGTGTTTTTCCTCTCCTTCTTGTTCCAGACTCGAGTTAAATTCCGATTTGGTTTTTGTTAGACTGATATCAGGTTCAACAACTGGATTGTTGGATTTCCCTGAAAAACTCCCGGACTTGTATGTGCAGGCTACCGTGTTGGCAGTGCAAACAAGAGCTAAAAACTGGTCGTTGATGTTACCAGAGATGGCCAGTTCTTCGAGTGCAGGAATATCATTGGCCGACCTCTGCATGTTCTTGGTCAGCTCTTCCTGAAAACTCAACGATCTAGACACAAGTTTTGAAGAAATGCATCCCATGTTGTTGGACTCTTTACCTGAGCTGTACATGAAAAGAGAGCTCAAGAAACAGAAAGGACTCGAGTTAGAAAAAATAGTAAAGAGGAGATGCTGAATTACAATTTCTGGATTTGAGTGCAGTCGTATTAATAACATATTGTATGCATGCATGGGATATTTTGGATAGCAAAAAACTCTCCTTTGGTTTTACTTTGGCTGAATTAAATCTGTTAGAGAAAAAGTTGACTACACAAATCCAGAGGGATGCAGAAGTTTGGATTGCAGATATCATTGTGTTTTAGATCTTACCGAAGGCCGATCACGTTCGTAGCAAAACTCGTTGTTGAGTCTCAAATCAAATAGAAAGCCAACTTGTAGGCCTGTATTGCGAAAGATTACAATCGAAGTTGCTCCCTCTCTCTACTTCCAAGTTTCGAATATAAATTTAAGGTGAGAAACGCAGAGCAGGAGCCGAACTTTTCAGTGGTTATAGTTGGTTTTGTATAGGGAACAAGCACACACCAAAAGAGGAGAGGGTGGTGGTTTCTTTTCTTGCTTCTTTTTGTTGCAGAGGACAAAGGCAGACAGCCCTGATATTGTGGAAAGTTCTATTTTAAAAGTTTTCCTTCTCCTATATGCAGAAAGGTTGGTAGACGAAGAAATCTGAAACATGGGCTCTAGTACACAACATATTTGTTGAATAAAAGCGATGATCTGCAATGGAAAATTTATGGCAACTATAGACGAGAAAACTTGAGGAGCCGCATGCAAGAGGAGGCTGAAGCCAGATTGATCTCTGCAAGGTTGACACTTCAGCAGCAAGTTTGTCAAAAGAAGCTGCAGAAGAGATGGGTTTTTTTTTTTTTTAAAATGCTAGAATCTAAAACTCATGGGTAGGACCCAAGAAGGATTCAAACTTTGAAAACCCAATAAATAATGGACACCTATTATGATATGTTGTCTACCACAAGGACAAGCCTGCTTTATTGGAATGGGTTCTGCATCTGCAAAGTTCGACTTTTCATGCTAATTAAAAAATGAATAAATTGTTCAAATGGGAACAGTAAGGTTGCTCTGATTATAGAATCTGACTTGTGATATGGTATAAAACCACAAATATAACAATAATGTTCACATAAAGTGCGAAAACCAGTTGTTCCCTTTCCATTCTATTGATTTTTTCAGCCATGCAATGAACACATACATTCCACGTTCCTTGCATGTTCTCTGCTCTCCAGCATGGCTAATTGCCTGAGCCATCTAAAAACAGATTCATGGTATGGTGTTGAAAGTCAATGAATTTGTGTGGCCAATGGAAGGACTTGCCCTCTAGTTAAATGATACATGATGCAACCAGTCAGTGCAGCACATGAACCTTGGAAGATTTAGAATAACGCAATTTTTCATAAGGATTCAAACACGTGTACATTCATACAAACCTTTTTCAGGCGAAGCTTTATTCACACAGTTTATCACTGAATTATGAAAATAAATATTTCTTACAAACCCAGTTTTACTGTGATGGTTTATGTATTTCACATCTTTCACGGTTCATGGTAATCAAACAGGGCACCCGGCCGATCAATTACAGCTACCAGGAGCAAAACCAATCCTCGAAGTTGAGACGTCATAAGCAATATTATATGTTTGCTGTTGACGGTTTCCGATAATGGCAATTTGGTTGGTTCCAGAGCTACCTGCAAAGGCCAAGCATGTAGTACCTTTATCAGCTTCTATTAGAATGCTTGGGGCCCTGAGCGTGAGGTCTGCGCCTCCTTGAAAAATCATTTTAATCTCGGGCACAGCTGATATGCTCTTGAGGCTCCCTTTGAAACAAGTGTCCAAGATGGAAAATGCTGGGGCTTTCGCATACTTGGTGGACATGATCTTTACAAAGGCCTGCCTCAGTGCTGCATACATGGACATTGGCAGTCGTGTTATAACAGTTCCGGAGTCTATAAGGGTCGGGACCCTGTACATGGCAGCAGCCAA